ATCCAGCACGGCGGCAGTCGGGCGGACGCCAGCGGAGGGTGACGAACGGGGGGCGAAGAACGGCGAGCCCTCCCCCGAAGCACCTCTTGGGGCGTGCAGCTTGCCAAAGTCAGGAGGGAAAAAAACACACAGACACCATTAATCGTCGATTCCCAGGAAAATATGGGAAACTATGGGAAGTGGTGGGGAAGACGAAAACCTAGAACATGTGGGAAAATATCGGGAATCCTTCACTTTTCGCTGCCGCTCTCAGACCCTAATAGGCCCTCAGAGGCCGAGGCCCCCGGAGGTGCCCAGAGGCCTCCAGAGTCGGGCGTTGCGTCTTGGGAGGGCGGTGCCAACGTTAAGTCGGGCGTGTCCCCCATACAGGGGGATTTTCGACGAATGATACAACATGGACAAAACATATTCCAAAATGGTTTAAAATACTTACAAAACAAGTTCCCAGACTTTTTAAAGCAGCTGTGTTTGAATCTTCCTCCTGTAGTCGGACAGGCCCGACTTCGTGTAGACGGCGTGTCCGCTCAGCTTCGGGCCCCGGGATCCTCACAGATCGATCCGGCTCGAAAAAAATGACGCAGGAAGAGGGGGTCCAGGGGCTCCTCCTCCTTTTCCTCCTCCTCCTCCTCCTCCTCCTCCTCCTCCTCCTCCTCCTTTCCTCCTTTTCCTCCTCCTCCTCCTCTCCTCCTCCTCTCCTTCTCCTCTTCCTCCTTTTCCTCCTCCTCCTCCTCCTCCTCCTCCTCGTCCTCCTCCTCGTCCTCCTCCTCCTCCTCCTCCTCCTTCTCGTCCTCCTGCTCGCCCCGTCGGGTCTCACGGGTGCTGGGCGGGCGAAGTGCACTTCAGGGGCCCCCCAAGGGGGGTCCCCCTGCAGGGCCCACGAGGGGCACGGCGTGTGCGCGTGTGCGCGTGTTTCTTCGCCCCCCACCCCCACCCCCGCGCAGCGCCCGCGCCCCCAGTTTCGGATGCAACTCCTGCGAGGTCAAATTTTGATCTAGCCCTGGTCCGAAATCCGGACCAATCAGGTTTAATCCCGCTTGATCTGGTTAAATCTGGTTTAATCCCGCTTAATCCGGCACAATCCTGCTTAGTCCGAGGCCCATTCTGGCGTCACAGCTCCCAAATGGGGCTTAACCCCCTTGAATTTTTCCGACGAAAGCCTCCCAGTAATTGCCTCCTAACCTGGTGACGCACCGTCCGACCGAGGCCTCGGGAGGGCGGCCCGGCCAGGGGCCCAGCCCGCCAGGGGAGGCCTCCCCGCGAGGGCCGGGGGCGAAGCCAGGGAGGCCCGAGCAGGGCCCGTTCCCCCGCCAGGAGTGGCCCCTCCCCCCGCCGGGCCCCTCGAGGGCTCGAGGGCGAGGCCTCGGCCTCGCTCGGACGTGTGCGTTTTTTCTCGGCGGGGACCATCTGTCGGAGGTTGATAGACCTCCTACCCTGACGCGTCGATTAGCGAATTGGCCGTTCTCGGTTCGCGAGAGGGCGTCGCGGCCGTCATTTTTGCGGGTCCGGGTCCGCCGGCCCCAGTCCCATGCCCTTTTCACTAAGGGGAGGTTTACGAAAGGGCGGTTTGTCCACAGCCGAAGCTAGGATTATGTGTGGCCTGTCCCCCTACAGGGGGATTTTATCGGAAAAATGCACCAAAATAGTAAAAAATGTCAAAACATAGTCCAGGGACTATGTTTGGAGCATTTTTTTACCTTCTTGGGGTATTTTTGGGCGGTACTTTTTAATTTTCGTCGAAAATTCCGCTGTAGGGGGGCACGCCCGACAGAAATCTGGGAGCATCCTGGACCACCGAGCAAAAAGCCGCGCACAACACCCCCAAACACGCGCCTCCTCGTCAAGCGGCCTGACCAGCACAGGCTGCAGTTTGGCATCGCTTGGTATCTCTTGGAAGCGAGGGGTGGTCAAAAGCGAGGTAGGTTTGTTTCCCCCCTATATAGAATCTGGGAGCATCCTGGACCAGCGAGCCAAAAGCTGCGCACAGCACCCAAACAAGTGCACGGGGCATGGACGCCCGAGCGATGGCGGGAGGCCCGGCGCCGCGTGCGGGCGGCGGGCGCCCGCTCGAGCGGCGGCGGCGCCCGCCGGGGGGGTGCCCGGCCGGCGGGGGCTCGCCGGAGCGAGCTCATGGAGCGGGCCCAAGGTCGGGGGCGGCAGAGAGGGGGGCGATGACTAGGGTTAGGTCGGGCGTGTCCCCCTACCAGGGGATGTTCGACGAAAAATTAGACATGCCCCTAAAAATGCCCCCAAAAGGTAAACAAATGTTCAGAAGATAGTCCCCAGACTATTTTTTTGACTTTTTAAAAATTATTTTTTTGGGTATTTTTTATTTTTCGTCGAACATCCCCCTGTAGGGGGACAGGCCCGACATAAAGCGAGCTCTGGAGCGGGCCCAAGGTCGGGGGCGGCAAGGAGGGGGGGGATGACTATAGGGGGGGGGGGGGGGGAAAGAGGGTGGCCAGGGATGTGTCTGTCCACGCCGGGCTCTTCGCCTCGTCCGCCGAGATCGGTTCTTCGGCCCCGCGTCGCGTGGGGCATTGCCTGGAGGGGCAGCGGTGTGGAGAGCAGGTAGTCAGGAGGTCGGTTGCCTGGGCGACGATCCGTGGGTGATGGCCATGAGAGTCGGGGGCGGAAAAGAGGGGGGCGATGGCTAGGGGGGGGGTGATATCATGGCGGGGGCCCTGATCTCCTCAGACTTCATGGCGCCTCTTCTTGTTTCATGGCGTCCCTGGGCCCCCCCTCGGGCCGCGCACATGCCGCCGGCCACGATTTGCGCCCCCCCCTCTCGGACGCCCCCCTCTTGGCCGCTCCCGAAATGTGGGCCCACATCGCTGAACTTGATGCGTCTAGGACTCCTATAGCTGGGGTCGGAGTAGATGGGGTCGGAGGATCGCGTCGCATCGCCGATGCATCGACGATGCGGCTCGATGTGGAGACCGTGTTTCCCCACGCCGACGTCGCCGATGCATCGGCGACGTCGCTGAAACGTCGGCGATGCATCGGCGAAGCATTGGCGATGCGGCGCGATCCTCCGACCCCATCTTCTCGGACCCCACCTAGGAGGCCTCTGATGCGATAGCGGTGACTTGCGCGCCTGGTGGTGTCCCGGCGGGGCGATGGGCTCCGGGGGGGATGCATCGATCGGCGGGCGAAGTCCGAACCCTACCCTCACCGATCAACGGTTCAGGCACCTTGATGGGCGGAGGGGGTAGAGTTAAGTCGGGCGTGTTCTTGTACCGGAGGAATATTGAAATAATAAAATGAAAGTAGTCAGGGGAAGGGCTTTTGAGCATTTTCGACGACTTTGATTTGTTTGATTTCTTTTCGCTCAACATCCGACCTGGGGGTAGAGGTTGAAATCCGTCGTGCACGTAGCGAAATCCGAACCCTACCCCAGCCTCCCATCGGTTCCTCAGAATCGATGGTTGGTCGGGACAGGGTTCGGATGTCGCCACATATCGACCCCCAACGTTTTCGGAATCTGCCGAACGCTTTCGAGGCCCGGGGTGGTTTCCATCAGCTGCGCCTCGTCGAGGGCGTGCCGGGGGTGCCGGCATCGCCCCGAAAAGCTTCCGGAGAGCTGAGTTCTGACCCGAAAACCAGGGTCGGAGGTGGATAGACCTCCTACCCTGACACGTCGATTAGTGAATTGGCTGTTTTCGGTTCGCGAGAGGGCGTCGCGGCCGTTATTTTTGCGGGTCTAGGTCCGTCGGTCTCGGTCCTAGGTCGTTTTCCCTAAAGGGAGGTGTACTGAAGGGAGGTTTGTCCATCGCCGACAGGGGGCCAACGACGGGGGGGGCAAGGCTCAGGGGGGACGCATCGCCCCCCAAGCGCCCACTCGTCGCCGACAGGGGCCCAGCAGCCCGCCCCGCCCGGGAACGTGCGGGTTCGCCCTCGGAGGGCCATCGCCGATCCGTCGGCGGTGCACGGCCGACTCCAGGTCGATGCTTCCCCTTGGCATCGCTCGGACGTGTGCATTTTTCCTTCGGCGAGGACCATCGAGGAGCATCCTTGATCATTTCGCGAAAAAGCCACGCACGGAACCGACAAAAGCACAGGAAATGGACGTCCGAGCGATGTCCAGTCCCCCCCTGAGCCAGTCCCCCCCCCTGTCCGTGCCCCGTGGTTTTCGGGTCTGCACAAAGCGGTTCTCTGGCGGCCGTTCGGGGCGATGCGGTGCCCTCCCGGAGAGCCCTCGGCGAGGCACGGCAACGCCCGGGAGCCTCGAGCCTCGCATCCAGCGCCGATCCATCGGCGACATCTGGCCGGTTCCAGCTCGGCGGTTCCTCCCCCTGTCCCCCCGAGCTGGTCCCCCCTCTCGTTGCCCCTCTTCGGCGCTGCCTCAACATACTTGCACGATGTGTGCGAGGCCCCAGCAGGGGAATCCCCATAGCATGTGCTCCGTGGCGGGCGCCTTCTGGCTGTACCGCTGGGAGGACGGTGTGCTGCACTGTACTGCTGCGCTATATGATCGGACCGGACGCGGGCGCCTCCACGGAGGACGCACAGTACTACAGTGCGCCCTTCTGCGTCCCACCCCGCTCCCGCCTCGGCTCCCGGCCGCCATTTTTCCCTCGTCGGCCTGCCGGTCCCTGTCTCCATCCCCCTCCCCTCCTCCTCCTGCCTCCTCGCGCCCTCCCCCTCTTCGTCGTCGTCGTCGTCGTCGTCGTCGTCGTCGCCGCCGCCGCCGCCGCCGCCGCCGCCGTCGCCGTCGCCGTCGCCGTCGCCGTCGTCGTCGTCGTCGTCGTCGTCGTCGGCGTCGCGGGCATCGGCGTCTGCGGCGGCGGCGTCGTCTTTGGTGTCGGCGTCGGCGTCGACGTCCTCGTCGCCGTCGCCGTCGCTGTCGCCGTCGCCGTCGCCGTCGCCGTCGCCGTCGCCGGCGTCGGCGTCGGCGTCGTCGTCGGCGTCGGCGTCGGCGTCGGCGTCGCCGTCGGCCGCGTCCTCCTCGTGTCGTCGCCCGCCCGACAAGCGCGGATGCGGGGGGCGCGCCGCCCGCTGAGGTCCCCCTCGGCAGGCGCGGCCGCGCCGCCGGCGTTCACCATCGACGACTGGGTCAAGGCGATCGCCCGCCCGCGCGCCCGGGCCGACTCTTCTGTGACCCGCCCGTTCGAGCCGGCCGTCTGGGCCCGCCCGACCCGCCCGTCAGGGTCCAGTCGGGCCTGCCCCTCTGCAGGAGGAATAGTCCCAAAACAGTTGGAGAACTAGTATGGGGTCAATGTTCCTCCTATGTTGGACCGTCTTTGAGCAGGTCTTGTCAATGCTACATTTTTTCGCCCAGGCTCCGCCTGTAATTAGGAGGACACGCCCGACCTAACGTTTCCGTCCACCCGACTTGCCCGCCTGGTGCCGCCGCTTGTTTTCCTGTTGCTCTCCCCCGTCCTGCTGCTAATCTCGGCGGCGAGCCTTGGAGGAAAGTGAGAAGGGGCGTGCTCAGAAGGCTCGGATGAGAAGTTTTCTAGGCCTTCCCCGACGACACGGAAGACTTTTCAGAAGGCCGGAGGGTCTCTGAGAAGCCCCGCTGCCTTCTGAGAGGGCCTTCTCCTTCTCACTTCCCCCCCTCGCTAGCCGCCGACCGAACTTCGATCTTCGAACCTTGGCCGGGCCCCTCGTAACGTTCAGTAAGATCGGGGAGACGTAAGGATTGCGTTCGGGGGATTCGGATTCGGGCCGGTTGGTCTGACGGTGCCGTCAGGAAAGTGAGGACATCAAATTTGAAATTCTACGAAATCTGAATTCGGGGAGACATAAGGCTCGAGTTCGCTGGAACTTAAGTTGGGTCTGCCGATTTGTTTGACGGGCCTATTTTGAGTTTTGGCGGTCCAGTTTTCGGGGTGATGTTCATAGTTAGAAATTCTAGACGCTTCGCGTATCCCCACCAGCCCGTCCAGAAATGACGCCCAGGCGAGTAGAGGGTTGTCCTGAGGGGCTTTTCGGCGTCTTGGGTGCCTCGGGGGGGCCTCTGTGGGCCGTTCGGGATCCTCTTTGGGGCCTCCTGGGGGCCTCTTGGGGCCTCTTGGGGCCATCTTGGGGCCTTTGGGGGCCTCCTGGGCGCTTCTTGGGGCCATCTTTGCCCCTTGGGTGCCTCTGGGGGGTCTCTTGGGGCCTCTTGGGGGTCTCTTGGGGGCCTCCTGGGGGCCTCTTGGGGGGCCTCTTGGGGCCATCTTGGGGCCATCCTGCGGCCTCTTGGGGCATCCTGGGGGCCTCTTGCGGCCATCGTGGAGGAAATCTGCCAAGGAAGTAGGGTTCCTTAATTAGAGCCCCCCCCCAGGAGCTCCAAAAATCGCTTCCTGGACCCCTCTTGGATCGCCCTTGGAGCGCTCGTGGCCGCTCTTGGAGCCATCCTGAGGCTCTCTTGGGCCCTTCTTGGAGCTATCTTGAGTCATCTTGGAGCCATCTTGACGCCTCGGATGTGCATCGCAAGCGAAAAAGTGAGAACACCAAAAACATTGATTTTCCCTAGGGTTTTGACGCATTTTGGCCTCGTGGATGCATCCTAATGATGCTCTTGTGGGCACTTGGAACCGTCTTGGAGAGTTCTTGGAATGTCTTGGAACATCATGGGGACCATCTTGAGGCATCTTGCGCTATCTTGAGCCATCTTGGAGGGTATCTTGGGCTCCCTGAGGCCCTCTTGGAGCCGTCTTGGGCCATCTTGGGCGCTCCAACGCGCCGCGGAACCCCCTGTCCAGGTCAGTGGGGAGGGGGTAGGGGGAGGGGTAAACCCCTCCCCGAAGGGGAAGAGGGAGGGGTGGAAGAGGAAACTCGTTAAACCACCGACGCCCAGAGGGCTGGTGGGATTGCGTAGAATTTCAGAATTGGGTCCCGTCATGTTTCTGACGGCCGTCTTTGTTGGAATTCGGGTTGTTTGACGGGCCCGTTTTGAATTTTGTCGGTCCAGTTTTCGGGGGATGTTTGTAGCAGGAACTTGCGTAGAATTTCTGATTGGGTCCCGTCATGTTTCTGACCGCCCCGTCTTCGTTGGATCTCGGGTTGTTTGACGGGCCGTACTGAATTTTGGCGCTCCAGTTTTCGTGGGATGTTTGTAGAGGGAATTGCGCAGCATTTCAGACTGGGCCCCGCCATTTTTCCGACGGCCCCGTCAGACCCATCCGAGCCCACCGAACCCGAATGTCTCCAGGATCTTTCCAAGGGCCAACGATAGGTCGAAGATTCGAGATCGCGATTCGAACATCGAGATTCGATGAGCCCGCCGAGGTTCGAAGAGCGAGCTTCGAGAGTTTTGGACGTCTTCGGCAGCTCTCGGCGGCTTTTGCTAGCCTCGGGGTGCCTCCCCTCCGCTGCGCCTCGCCGAGGGCTTGCTGGGGGTGCTCGGGGATCGTCCCAACTGGCCGCCAGGGATCTAGGCCTTCTAAAGTAGGGTCGGAGTAAAGTGGGGGCCCGACCACAAGAAACCTTCCACAAGAAACTCAGCCCTGAGACCCCAGGACGCCCGTCGATTTCTGGCGTGGGAGCGTCACGCTTTCCATGGCAAAACCATCGAAACTCAAGAAACCCAGTGCACCCTGGAGGCAAGCAGGGTGTTTCTTAGCATGGGCCTCCACTGTCGATGGGGTCGGAGGATCCCGCCGCATCGCCGATGCATCGGCGATGCATCGGCGACGCGGCTCGATGCGAAACCTGATCCTCTCCACGCCGACGTCGCCGATGCATCGCCGACGTCGCCAGTGCATCGGCGACGCATCGCCGATGTATCGGCGATGCGGCGAGATCCTCCCCATCTACTCGGACCCCATCTGAGAGGCCTCGAAGGGATTCGAGCTATAACCCGGACACCAGGGGGACCGGCTCAGGGCGGGAAGCCTCGGCCCCGACCCGGCGGTACGCCCTTCGGCGATGGGCGCCCGAAGGCGAAGCCTGCTCTCGGGCGGGCCCGGGCCGTGGGGCCCCCATCGAAGGGCTCCGGGTCTGAAGCTTACTGGATATTCGCTGGGAACTCGTGGGAGGCCTCTCGGGGGCCTCTTGGAGGCAGTCTGGACGCCCCTCGGAAACCAATCTGGGGCATCTTGGGGCCTCATCGGGGCCTCCCTGCGAGCCTCTTGGGGCCACTTGGGCGCCTTCTTGGGGGCGTCTCGGGGCCTCCCGGGCGCCTCTTGGTGCCTCCTGCGGGCCTCTGGGGGCGCAGAGCTCCGATTTTAGGTTCGTGCTCCCCCTATTGGGCCCCTTTTGGGGCGCTATTGGGGCTCTTGGGGCCCTCTAGGGAGGGATATCATGGCGGGGGCCATGATATTTCCCAGGTTTCATGGCGCCTCTTCTTATTGCTAAGGCCTTACGGCCAGTGCCGCCGACCCTGGATACCTCGGCCCCCGAGGGTGACGGGATGCGCGATCAGACGTCGGAGGTAAATGAAGACGTGGCGGAGGAGGAGGAGGAGGCGGAGGAGGAGGAGGAGGAGGAGGAGGAGGAGGAGGAGGAGAGGAGGATGGAAAAGCAGGAGGAGGAGGAGGAGGAGCAGGAGGAGGAGGAGGGAGGATGAGGAGGAGGAAGAGGAGGAGGAGGAGGAGGAGGAGGAGGAGGGGGAGGAGGGAGGAGGGGGGTAGAGGAGGAGGAGGAGGAGGAGGAGGAGGAGGAAGAGGATTTTTTGTTGTTGTTTTTGTTTTGCGGTGCCGCCACCAGCCCGCCCGCGCATCGGCCGCGCGGAGCCGTCGCGCGCGGCCGCGCAGCGCGGCCGCGGCGCCCCACCCACGCGGGCGACGGGCGAGACCGCCCGCGCGGGGCGGAGAAAAGGCCCCGCCCCACGGGCAGGCGGGAGGCCCCAACCGAACTGAGCCGCCCCCACGAAGGGGGAAGCCGAACGGGCAGGGCCACCCGCGCGCCCAAGAGGCAGGGCAAAAAAAGGGACCGGACCCCGGGACCCACGAAACGACGACGACGACAACGACAACGACACGACGCGACGGGGAGAAGGACCGCCAGTCCCGCCCCAAGGCGGCGACTGCGGGCAGGGAGCTCCCGCACCGCCCTGGGGGAGGCCACGGGGCCTGGCAGCCCCCCGAGAAGGGAAGCCCAGGTGCGGGGGCTTGGGCCCCGAAGGCCCGGTGCCCCCCGCCTGCACCAGGGGGCATTCTGGCCCGACACCCCGCCTATGGGGGTGCCCCTCCGGGGCAGGAGGAGAAGGAGGAGGAGGAGGTGGATGAGGAGGAGGAGGAGGAGCAGGAGCACGAGCACGAGCAGGAGGAGGAGGGGGAGGAGGAGGAGGAGGAGGAGGAGGAGGAGAGGAGGAGGAGGAGGAGGAGGAGAGGAGGAGGAGGGGGGAGGAGGAGGAGGAGGGGAGGAGGAGGAGGGGGGGAGGAGGAGGGGGAGGAGGAGGAGGAGGAGGAGGAGGAGGAGGAGGAGGAGGAGAGGAGGAGGAGGAGGGAGGAGGAGGAGGAGGAGGTGTGAGGAGGAGGAGGAGGAGGGGGGCGAGGGGGAGGAGGGGAGGAGGGAGGAGGAGGAGGGGGAGGAGGAGGAGGAAGGTGGAGGGGGATGGGGGAGGGGGGGGGAGGGGGAGAGGGAGGGAGAGGGTCGCCTGGGGGAGGATGCGCATCTCCCCCCCCCCCCCCTGGTTGGGGTGGTAGGGAGGGGCTTCGCCGCGACTGCGATTTCCTTTTTCGTTTCGTGTTCGATTTCCTTTTACTTCGGGCGACGACGATGACGACCACGACGACGACGACGACGGTGATCCACGGGAGACGACGACGCCGGGATGCGTCTTCCACACGGCGACAGGGTCAGCGAATTTCGTTACGTCCTTGGCCCCCCCGCTGGGCCGCGCTCGCCGCCTGTCATGATTTGCACCCCCCTGCTGGACACCCCCCTCTTGGCAGGAGATTTTGGAAGTTGTGATCTGGGCCCCCAAAGCACTCCTCAGGCTTGGGGATTGAGGCTCAGGGGACTGCCTGAGGACACGCCCGCTCAGAGCCCAGCGGCACGGTGGCGGATCAGCGACGAATGGGCGACTTAGGGTCGATGAGTCCCCCCCTGAGCCTATGTTCCTCCGACGTTGTCGCTTACTATTGGGGGTGTTGGGGCGTGTTCAACTGGTTTAACTGTTTAGGATGTTTCAGTTGCTTTCGCTGATTCGACTTTTGGGGGTGTTGGGGCGTGTTGTCGCAGTCAGCAGTTTAGGTTTTCTCAGCAGTTTTCGCCAGTTCTTGGAGGCTCTCCTGCCGCGGGATGCGTGCCGAAAAACGTTCCGGGGGGGGGCCCGACGGTCCCGATCGGCCGACGGAGGCACGAATTGTGTTCCGAAAGCCCGGTGCCCCTGGCCCCAGGTGCCCCCAGCGTCCGCTTGATTTTGGAGCCCCTGGGGCCCTCTGGGCATCGCGATGGGTGCTCTTGAGGCCGTGGAGGCCTCCTTGGAGGTCCTGGGGGCACCATGGGCCAGGGACGTGTCTGTCAACACCGGGCTCTTCGCCTCGTCCGCCGAGGTCGGCCCTTCGGTCCCTCGTCGCGTGGGCACTGCCTGGAGGGGCAGCGGCGCGGAGAGCAGGTAGTCAGGAGGTCGGTTGCCTGGGTCATGTTCCGTGGGTGATGGCCATGAGAGGCCGGTGCCGCACCAGCGGTGCCCTGCCGCCAGCGAGGGGATGGGCGGTGCGGGCCCTCGAACAGTAGCGGCGTTGCTTGCCCGCTGGAGACCGTTGCTGTTGTCCCCCTTGCGGTACCGGGCGTGAACAGGGGCGGGGAGGGGGTCTTTGCTCGAGGCTGTGTAGCCCAGCCACGAGAACCTGTTGGCCAAGGGGTGCGTCGCGGTTCCCGCTGGCGCCGATTGGGAATCTTTACGGATGGTTTATTCCCATACGGCGCCGGCGCGAATCGTGACGGGACCAGGCGGGGGAGAAGGGGGTGACGCGGGGCCGCTCATTGGCGTTATCAAGAATAATTATAAAGCTCCTGCGTGGCCACAGATTGGATGGGTGGTGAGGGCCCGTACACGGTGCTTGCTGCGGACGCGAGGTCTCGAGTCGAGCGCAGCCTTGGCTTCCTGGCTCGCTCTGTGGATTTGCTGTCTCGTTTTTTTTTGGAAGCGGCTCCAAAAGCTGCCGTTGGTCGGTCATACTGGGCATGCGCGACCGACGCCGATTCTAAACGGTTACACCGCAGAAAAAGAGAGTATGCACCATATAATTTTTTCTATTCGGTCTACGTGGCCGTCTTTGGTCAAGGCGAAGTACGCGCGGAAACGCTGTCCTCCATCCCGGGGCCTTGCGTGATTGTGAGGGGTTGAGGTTCTAGACGTTTGTTTCATCAAATGGTTGCTCGTTCCCTGGCGGTTTCGCTTGGGCCCCAGGTGGCCCGCCAGGAAGTCCTGGGATTCGGACAGGTAATTCAGTCGGACAAGTTATGCGAAAGCAGCCAATTCTTCCCTAGTCGTCCAGGCCGTTGTTGTTGTGTTTGGCTCCCGGATATCTCGTCGGGGGCCCCGCCGAGAGCTGTGGTGTTCTTGAAATTAACGCGGAGACTCGCTGCCCGCGCTTACGCGAACGCTTGCTTCCTGTAGAACCACTTCTGTGTCGCGCGGAGTCTCTTCTGGATGTTGCCTTCGCCCGTTTGCCTTTTTTTTGTGGGCTTGTGCACGGTCAGCTGGAGCATGACGCGTACAGTCAATTCCACGGAGGTGGGTGACCGGGACCCCTTCCCCAGAGTTGTCGGCTTGACAGTAGGGCACAATGGTGGCGTTTGTGACGTTACCCTCCCCGCCTTGATCCGCTTGACATTGCGATGAGCGGGTGGGTAGAGGGGTGTTGTGCGGGAGCAGCATTGCCCGCTTGTGTGGACCCGAAATGTGTCGCGCATGTTCAGACAATGGGCTACAAGAAAGCATGAGGAAAGAGGACCAGCGATGTACCAGGAGTGCCGCAATTGCAGCATCGCTGCGGCGATCTGCGGAGCTGAGATTGCGTGACTTCGACTAGCAGCGACAGGGCTTTCCGTTCGTATCCCTTTGGGTTCGAATCCGGGATCGAGTGCACAGAGCAAGGGCACCCGCATCGAACGGCAGATATGGCGCCGATGATGAACGGCACCTTCATGAACAAGACTGCCCTCACAGCTGCGATTGCGAAGAACTGCAACGCCGTCATCAGCACAGCATTGAGGACTCGCGAGCATTGCCGCAGTCGAGACGATGGAGAATGGCAATTTCGTCGTGCCAGGCCTAGTGATATCACGACCCGCCAGAAGAAGGCGACCAAGACTGGGAAACGCGAGACAGCGCCAGTCACGACTGCCGTTCAAGTGTTCTCCGCGAAAGTTCTCAAGGGTGATGTCTGATCGCCTCCCCAACTCTGGCGAGCCCTACGAAGAGGCCTCGCCTCCTCCCTTATCAGAGGAACCGTCGTGACATTTCGTTCGCGCTGGCCAGAGGGTACGTGGTCAAGCACGGCCGTCCAGTCCCGCGAGACGACCGCACGTAGTTACGCCACTTTTGCTTCGCAGAGCAGGGCGGGGCCTAGCGTGCCTCACGCAGAGACGTTCGTCTTATGCCCTCTCACCCTGCCTCGGCACCTCTCCCGGCCCCTGCTGCTGCGACTGCTCTCTCCAGGTTCCTTCTCCCAGCGCGCGTCCCTTTTTCAATGTTTGACAGGCTCGGATCATGGCCGATCGCAGTGGCATGGGTCCCTCCCGCGGGGAACCACTTCGCAGCATCCCGCCGGCCACGGTGTGCCAGAGCAGCGTACCTGAGGAATGTGTGCGGTACAACGTGCCTGCGGAACGCGCCATGTTGCCCTCCATTTTTCCTGAGAACCTCCTGCTCCTCCTGCTGCTCCTCCTCCTCCTCCTCCTCCTCCTCCTCCTGCTCCTCCTGCTCCTCCTCCTCTTCCTCCTCCTCCTCCTCCTCCTCCTCCTGCTCCTGCTCCTGCTCCCTGCTCGTGCTCCTGCTCCCCCCCGTCCTGCCCGGGCTCCTCGCCGCCTCTCCGGCCGCTGCTTTGCGCAGGTCGTGGGGCTGGAGTCCGAGGTCGACCCCGGCCCCTCTCTGCCGACGCCTGTGCAGGGACAGCAGGAGGAGGAGGAGGAGGAGGAGGAGGAGGAGGAGGAGGAGAGGATAGGACAGGTGGCAGGGAGGAGTGAAGCGGAGAAAGAGGGATGAGAACAGCAGAACCCCCCCCCGCCCCCAGCCGGGACCTCCACTCCCGACCTGGTGATCCAGCGGGTCTTGGCTAGGAGTGGGGGCGGCTTTTTAGGGGCTTCGGGGGGCCAGAGGACCTCCCCCACCTCCAGCCAGGACCCCGTGGATCGCCAGGGAGGGAGGGAGGGAGAGAAGTACGTACGCGGCGAATGTGCGATCCGTTTCTTAATTGTCATGTCTTGCACGTTCCTGCAGGCGCCAATGTCGTCATTTGAAGCCGAGGACATCGCCATGGATGAGCGCTTGGACGACCGAGGCCGTCGTCCAAGCGCTGGCAGCTTTCACCTCACCAGGCACGCGGCCGTCAGGATACTGACTGGGGGCAAACCAGAGGAAGGTGCACAATGATGGAAGAGATGGAAAGTGGAGAGGGAGGGGGGGAGAGAAGGGGAGTCGAGGGAGGGCTGGAGGGGCACAGGGGATGCACTCGTCAGTACATCATTGTCGGGTGATGGAATCGACGCACTTGATCAATGTTAGGTTGTTGTCCCCAGTGCACTATACATGTGGAAGTACTCGTGGCTTGGTGGGCTTGAGGGCCTTCATGCTTCCCTTCATCATCTGCCTCTCTTCCTGGGTGTCCTGGATCGGGGCCGCAACGAGCTTCCAGAATACATCTATTGCCCGATCGGACGAGCGCCGAGATCGCGAAGTGCAATGGTCAGTTCCTCCTGCGCGCCAGCGTTGTCGAGAGGCGAGCTCAGTCGACGTAAGACCGCTGCAAGCCTGTCTCGGGCGGCTGGACCGTGGCAGGAGCACCCGCCGACCCGTCTTCCTGGGCGTCTCGTTGTGCTGTGTGAGCGTGGGACCAATTCTGACCTCCTCCTCCTCCTCCTCCTCCTCCTCATGCTCCTCCTCCTCCTCCTCCTCCTCGTTTCGATTCCACCGATTCGACTCGATTCGATTTCGATGGTTTCCGATTCCGATTCGATTCGACTTCGGATTCCGACTTGGGCTCCGATTTCTTATTGGAGGCACACTTGCCTGCCGATTTCCGCCGATTCGGCTTCTCCCGACTCGGCCGCCGATTTCCGCCGATCCGACTCACTTCGATCGCCGACCCGACTTGTCGATTCGACTCTGGGGGCGCCTGCCCTCAGGCCATCCTGGTGTCAGTGACAGTGGCAGTACCAGAGACGTCGGCCGTACCAGTGGCGGCCGCAGTCAGTGTTGCAATGTCTTGGTGATGGGGAGTGCAAGCGTAATGGGATGAGCGCGCAGAACGACGTGTCCACATCTTTGTAGACCCCCCCGCGTTGATCACGGGCGGTGATCGTACGTAGCTCCATCGTGCTTTCTCCATGCTTGTGGAGGGCGATCCATGGAGAGGACGCATGTTGCCAAATAAGGTCCAGATGTCTAGAACATGTGTTTCACATGTTTTAATCATGTGACGGCAAAATCATATTTGAACGCATGTTTAGAACAGTTTCCGACATTTTGAACACATGGGCGTTTAACAGATTCAACAGGGACGCACATATACAAGTAATCGTCCGTTTTTTCCCCTCGAGCTCGGAAACTGTCAGGCTGGCACGTTTAGAACAGATGTTTTGACAGGACTGTCAGCGTGCCCACTGCCGTGGCAGCCCCGAAAAGCTGCGCAGGCGGGGGCCTCGGCCGGACGGCGCGGACGGGTGCGACCGCGAGGGCGTCGGAGGGCTGCGCGTGCCGCCCTCGTGCGCTGCTGCGCACCCCTTGGCATCGCTCGGACGTGTGCATTTTTCCTTCGGCGAGGACCCCCCCCTGAGGCCCCCCCGCGGAGGTGAGCGAGGGGCGCCTCCTCTTCCGGGGCAGCGTCAGGGCGGGGAGAGGCTCATCTTGGCATCGCTCGGACGTGTGCATTTTTCCTTGGACGAGGACCATCGAGGAGCATCCTTGATCATTTCGCGAGAAGACCACGCACGAAACCAGCAAAAGCACAGGAAATGGACGTCCGAGCGATGGCCAGACCCTGGGCTCGCGAGGGGCGGGAGGGGAGCAGGAGAGGGGAGCAGGAGGGGACCAGGGAGGGGAGCAGGGAAGGAGGCAGGGAGGGGACAGAGAGTCGGAGGAGGAAAAGGTGCCCATGCCTGCAGCCTTGGCCCGTTTTCCTCGTTTTGGGCCTCCTGGGAGGCCCTCGCCGCCACCGCTGATTGCGCCTCGAAATCCTGGTCGGAACGCACCCCAGGAGAGGTCTGGGGAGTACCCAGCGAGGAGCTCCATCGTGCAAGATACTCTGGTGCCGACGCGGGCGCACCCCGTGCCCGCGAGGCCGGGAAGGCTCTCAACGGGCGGCGCGGCGTCGTCGTGCAGTTTATCGAGGCCCGCGGCCTCCGCGGCCTCCGCGCCGCCGCACCTGGGGCGGGGAGAGCCGCACCGTGAGTGCCCCGCGCCACGTGGGGCGCTCCAGAAAGGGCCTCGCCTCCAGGGCTCGGAGGAGCTGGCACCTCGTCCTTTACCGGTTTGAAGCATATCCTTGTCCCTATGTTTGACATCACCCCACCTCGATGCCGATCTTGAGGCTTCCCTCGGTTTTTGAGGGCCTATCCCTAAGATTGTCCTCGCTTTTTGCTCGCCCACCTTAGGGAGAGGGGATACACGCCGGTCGTTGAAAGTAGGTATTTTTGGATTCCCAGATACCAATCTACTTCAAGCGCCCTCCTACTTCAAGAATCGGCATGCTTTTACTGTGTTTTGTTATTCTCTGGGAGGGCCTGGACCCAATCTACTATATCCGCCTTCCTACCTCATGTTTCTACCTACTTCTTCTGACCGACGTGTAGGGAGAGGGAGAGGGAGGAGGAGGAGGAGGAGAGGGAGAGGGAGAGGAGGAGGGATAGGGAGGAGGGGAGGAGGGAGGAGGAAGGAGGAGGAGGAGGAGGAGGAGGAGGAGGAGGAGCAGGGATACGTTTGAGGCTGGTGAGTCCTCGGCGGAGGGGCGGCGGGAGGTCGGCGGGTCCGCTGGCTTGTGGAGTCTGGCGCACGTTGCCAGCGGGAGCACGCGGGGGTAGGCGGTGCGCCCTTCCCAGGGGTTCCCGAGCAGGTCGACGCCACTGCAAGGGTTCCCGTGGAATCTGGCGGGCGGCCCTTCCCAAGGGTTCCCGAGGGTTCTGCAGGTAGATGGTGCGCCCTTCCCAAGAGTTCCCGTGGAATCTGGCGGGCGGCCAGCGGAAGCACGCGGGGGTAGGCGGTGCGCCCTTCCCGAGGGTTCCCGAGCAGGTCGTACGCCACTGCAGAAGGAGGAGGAGGAAGGAGGAGGAGGAGGAGGAGTGGAGTGGAATCTGGTGGAAGTCCGCGGGTGGGTGGCTGGGCGAGATCTGGTGAGGAGGAGGAGGTCGACGCCACTGCAGAAGGAGAGGTTCCCGGCTGGCGTGGAATCTGGCGTGCGGCCAGCGGAAGCACGCGGGGGTAGGCGGTGCGCCCTTCCCCAAGGGTTCCCGAGCAGGTCATACGCCATTGCAGGCCTGATGGTTCCACGGGTTTACCAGCCTGGAACATATCCCTACGGTAGGTTTGCGTCGTGTCGACCAGCGGCGACCCCGCCGCCGGCGCTCAACGTTGAACGCCGCCGGCGACCCAGAATCGATCGATGTTGAACGATCGGACGTTGCGGCAGCGGCCGATCCTTCAAGGTTGAACGATCCCCGCGGTGTCAAAAACCAACGCTGGGGTCGGCACGACACGAACCTGCCGTAGACGGTGCGCCCTTCCCAAGGGTTCCCGAGCAGGTCATACGCCATTGCAGGCCTGATGGTTCCACGGGTTTACCAGCCTGGAACATATCCCTATCCCTTCCAATTGCATTCCACGTGCATTAAAGGCACAGCTGGTCAGCATTGGCATGCTGCTGTCTGCTGCACTATGGCTGTTCGGACTTAAGTAAATAGTGATGCGGGAACAGTCGTTACTTGGCAATCCGTGTTGCTTGTTTCGCGAACCAACAAAAAAATATCCCTATCCCTATGCTGGGCACCTCCTCATCACGATGCCAATATCAGGGATTCCCTTTTTTTTGAGGGCGGATCCCTAAGATTGTCATCGCCTTTGGGCGTGCCAATCTTAGGGATAGGGATACGTTCGAGGCTGGTAACGGGTGCACATGTTGCCGATATCTGGATTTCGGATACCGTGTCGACCTGCACAATTGCATCCGGGCGAGCAGTACAGCACATTGTTTGCAGTGGTGTGGCAGCAGCATCAGCTAAATGTGATCGTCTGCATCGGCATCAGCGTCGAAGGCAGCTCAAGTATTATCGCTGGCGCTAGGAGTGGCCGTAGCAGCACAGTCAGCACCAACAGCATCTGCGTCAACGTTACTGTTAGTATCAGGGCCAGCAGCGGCAGCAGCAGCAGCGTCAGCGGCGGCGTCAGCATCAGCATTTGCGCTTTCTGTAGTAGCGGCAGCGGCACCAGCAGCGTCAGTTCCAGCAGCTGAGACAGCAGTTGCCAGGGTTTGAGGCATATTTGAAGATTTTTGCTACAATCGTGTTCACGTCTAGTCGGCGCCACCCAAACATACTTATCAGCCTGAGGGGTCCTGACTGTGATTCACTGTCCCTGGGCGCGTGGCTGACGTGAGGTGCGCATTGAATCATATTTTTTCTGGATCTCTGGAGACGGTTCCGCGCGCTCTCGCCTCGACCCCGGTTACATTTTCTCGGAAAGCGAGGTTCCCGCTCGAGCGTTGGCTTGAGCCTAAATGTGGGCCCTTGGAGGCCCAGCTACGACATCAACGGCTGCTGCTCGATACTTCCTCACTATTTACTCCGAAACACCCTGGCCAGAGAGGCCCCCGAACTCAGGAACGCTGCTCTCGCTCGTGACTTCCTCGCAAGTCAATTCAGTTGGCGGAGGCCCAGCCGCGACGACAAGGGCTCCTGCTCGATACGTCCTCACGATTTACTCCGAGAGCCCCTGGCCCAGAAAGCCCCCGAACTCACGAACGGCGCGCTCGCTCGAGACCTTCCCGTAATTCAGGCAAGTTGGTGGAGGCCCGGACACGGCGACATGGGTCCCGCTCGATATTTCTCCCATCGGTATTCCGAGAGCACCTGGCCAGACAGGTCCCCGAACTCAGGAACGGCGCTCTCGCTCGAGACTTCTTCGCACTTCAGTCAGTGGCGCCGACACGGAAGAGATTCCCCTCGAAAGGGGCTGCAATTGAAGACGAAGTGGGCAGGTATCGAGGGTTGGGGTATACGGACTGCAAGACACGCGTGCCAGTAAGAGCGAACAGTCGGAACATGATTGCTTTAACTTCTCAACAATGATGATTGTTGGACCCCTTACAGGCGCCTTGGCGCTCTCGCCGAGGCGCCGGTTGCATTTTCATTGAACATGAAGCTCACTCTCAAGCGGTTTGGGGGACCACCAAAACCGGCCCCCAAACAACAACAACGCTCCCGTTCGAGATTTCCCGCCTTCTTTACTCAGGGCTGGTGCTGTTGCTCGCCGCCGAAAGCAGCCATCTCAACAAAACCAGCGCTCCCGCTCGAGACCTTCTCCCGTTTTACCTTGGACAGGCGCGCTATTCTTTCTCTCATCGGCGCCGCCCCCTAGCAGCAACAATGCTCCCGCTTGAGACTTCCTCTTTGTTTCACTCAAGGCGGTGCTCTTGCTCGCCGCCGACAGCCCCCGTCCCGACAAAGCCAGCGCTCCCGCCCTTTCCGTCCTCCTCTTCCGCCTCACCCTCCTCTTACTTCCTTCCCCCTCCCTTTTTCTACCTCTTCCTCCCTCCACCCCCTCCTCTTCTCCCTCGTCCCTCCTCCCTCTCCCGTCCCTCTTTCCTCCCTCCTCCTCCCTCCTCCTTTCCCTTTTCGTCCCCCTTGTCTCATCCCTCCTCCTGCCTCCCTCCTCCCTCCTCCCTTCCCTTTCCGTCCTCCCTCGTCGCTCCCGTTTGATAGTTCTTCACCTTTTACTCAAGATTGGGGCCCTCGTTTCGGCATCGCCTCTGGGGGGCTTCCAAAAGTCTCTGCCGAATCTTAATGATTGATCAACTCCCAGTTTTTGGAGAGCATCGGTAATGTGGAGGAGGAAGAGGAGGAGGAGAGATTGGAGGACGTATAACTTCCAGGGACTCCACGGATCGAGGGCCGAAGGATTGACTTCAAGGATTCCTTAAGAGGGTGTCGAGGAGCAGGTGGAGGATGCGAGCATGGGAGCGGCAGCGCCTGGGGGCGTGAACGTTCAGGGCCACGCGCCGAAGCCGCAGGATGGTGGCGTAACAGTTCGAACGAGAAGTAAGAACCACCTCGTCCATGGAGGTACTGCTACTACAGCTACTCCTCCTTCCTCCACCACCTCCTCCTCCTCGTCCTCCCTCCTCCTCCATCCTCTTCCTCCTCCTCTCCCTCTTCCTCTCCCTCTGCTTCCCTGCCCTCCTCGTCGTCCTCCTCCTCCGAGGTGCGGGGCGCGCGCAGGGCGATTGAAATTGCGATGCGCCGTCCGAGCTGTGGATGGCGGTGGCAATGCTTTCTTGGGCGGGGGGTCTGGGCGAGGGAATATCGGGCCCCGCGCGCCAGGGCAATCCCCCATGGTGGGGCGTGGTGTCCAGAAGGATACATTTGACATGTGGAAGCGCGGCGCGTACTGGTAAAATGGGTGTCGTCGTCGTCGTCGTCGTTGTTGTTTCGGGCCGAACGAAAGGTGGGATAGGGACAGGGGGGTTGCGAAATCTTCGCCGCGCAGCTTGTTTCGGCCCCGCGCGCCAGGCCCGTTCCTCGACGCATGGGCGCTTCTCGGCGCCGAGACGCGCCGGGAAAATCAGCTACGCGAGCTGATTCTCACCCGCCCCTCTGCTCTCCCGCCCCTTCGCCCGGCCCGGTTGTTGTTGGCGCTCGTTGATGTCACTTGTTGTTTGTTGTTTGTAATTGCTGGTTGTCGTCGTCCGCCAAGCGACCCGACCCGCGACCCGCCCGCGACCCGCCCGCGACTCCACCCGCGATCCACCAACATCGCTCTCAGGAACAAATCCTCGGCGTCGGCGGGCTCGTTGTATAATTTGTAAAGTGTGGCGCTTGCGGTTGGCTTCTTCGGAGCCTCGCAGGCTGCCGACGTCCCCGCCTCCTCCCTCGCTCTTATCCGCAGCTGCGCTATGTATTGTCTTTCCGTCGGCCACGCAAGGGCGACGCGCGCGTTCGGACATCGTATAGTGTAAGTTTTTTGGCGGACATTTTCTGGTCTTGCCGATCGGGCAATTGTACACACACAGACATATATATATATATATATATATATATATATATATGTAGATATACATATCCGGAAGTTGGGGGTGAGTCCGACGTGAAACGGAGACCCCCCCTGCTGGGAAATTGATTCGGGTTTCGGGTTCGTGTCGTGCGTGCCGTGCGCGCGTGCGGGCGAGGCAAAGCTGCGCGGGCGGGCGAGAAGACATCCTCTTGTGGTTGGGCCGCGGCCGGACCAAATGTAACTCTTCCGGCGGCCGTTGCCCCACGGTGTCCCGCCGGTGTCCCGCCGGTGTCCCGAAATCTGTTTGCGGCTGCGCCGCAGCCGGACCAAATGTAACTCCTCCGGCGGCCGGTTGCCCCGCGGTGTTGTGCCAGTGTCCCGCGGGTGTCCCGTTGTGTGAGGTCGATATTGAGATCGATATTGATATCGATAGTGATATCGATCGTGAGATCGATGTGGTGCCCCGAGGTATCCCGTGATGTCCCATGATGTCCCGTTGAGTGAGATCGACGGTGAGATCGACAAGTGTCCCGTGGTGTCCCGTGGTGTCCGCTGAGTGAGATCGATAGTGAGGTCGATTGTGAGATCGATATTGAAATCGATGTGGTGCCAAAGGTGTCCCGCGGTGTCCCAAAAAATGATATCGATAGTGATTTCGATACTGAGATCGACAGGTGTTCCGTGGTGTCCCGGTGGTGTCCCGATGAGTGATATCGATATGGAGATCGATGCTGAGATCGATGTGGTGCCCCGAAATCTCCCGTGGTGTCCCGTGGTGTCCTATGGTGTCCCGTTTGGTGAGCCCGTGGTGTCCCGTGATTTACCGTTGAGTGAGATCGATCGTGAGATCGATAGTTAGATCGATAAGTGTCCCGTAGTGTCCCGTGGTGTTCCGTTGAGTGAGATCGATAGTGAGATCGGTTGAGTCACATGTTGGTTCCCCCTTTTCTCCCCCCACAAATTCCTTATCATCCGAAGGGTGGTCGTGTAGGTGTATATACTACAAGATGGTGTACCAGATGTTCGGGTCGGACGTCCGTGTCCAACAGAGGCACACAGTATCAGTATGTCCCTGCGCTGCACTTTTAGGGGTATCCTGTCGCAGTGTCTGCCAGTGTGGCGTACTTGCCGAACCTGGGTCCTCAATTGGACGAGCACCAGTGCCAAGGCCGACGGGGCAAGCAGGTTACAGAGGCTGATTGAATTTGTCCCGGCCTTCCAGATGGAGTCCGACTGGATGGGGTCGGAGGCTCGCGCCGCATAGCCGGTGCTTCGTCGATGCGGCTCGATGCGGACCCCGGTTTTCTCCTCGCCGACGTCGCCGATCCATCGCCGACGTCGCGGATGCATCGGTGGTGCATTAGCGATACGGCGCGATCCTCCCACCCCATCTATGCGGACCCTATCTCGGAGGCCTCAGCCTGAAAGATGATTCGGGAGCCTACGTGAGGGCCATGTCTGGGCAGGGAGATCCCTGGCGTTTCCTGGTGTGTGTGTGTGTGTGAGTGTGTGTGTGTGTGTCGACGCGTGCCTTCCGGTGCCGGCTCCTTCTCTCCTCGAGCAGTCATCCGATGTCGGAGATGATTGCTTCCAGGTAGAAGGGTGCTCTCCCTGGCTGGCCCAAGGACCAGAGTTTGGTCGAAGAAGGTCTGGGCCCGCTCTCGCCTCGTCAGGTCAGGTCATGCACTTTCATGTCGGTCAAGGCTGGGCATGTGAGACCTACGCTCCTCCCACATGGTTTCCGCGCTTCGTTTCGGGTTGCTCAGATTCGATTCGTCTTGGTTTCGCTCGGGCCAGTGCACATCGAGGAGGTCGAAGCATTGTTGCTGGTGGTTCGGCTCGTTTGGATCGATTCGATTTCAAATGTCATATGAGCAAGAAGTCATGACAATGATACGTTCGAGATCTCTTCCAAGGTTACTCGATCTCCTGATTTTCCGCACGGCCTGCAGACGCGAGGGGCGCTGGACGCTCCAGAACTCCTGGACCGTACCCTGAGCCAATCGCATCATGGTATCCGTCTCGTCTCACCAGCAGGCGGGCCGAACTCTTACTTCGGGGCTCCAGAGACGGGGGTCAGTGCAGACGGGGGTCGGTCAGAGCGCCCGATCCTGCGGGATCCTGCAGGGCCAGGGGTGCACTGACCCGGGCTTGGGCTGCAGGATCCTGCAGGATTTTGAGAGGCTCCTGCAGAGCCTGACCGCGGCGGTCCGCCGTGGCCTCGGGGGCCCCGAGGCCTCGGGGCCTCGAGGCGTCGAATGCCTCGGGAGGAGGAGGAGGAGGAGGAGGAGGAGGAGGAGGAGGAGGAGGAGAGAAGAGGGAGGGAGGGAGGGAGGGAGGGAGGAAGGGAGGGAGGGAGGGAGGGAGGGAGGGAGGGAAGGGAGGAGGAGGAGGAGGATGAGGAGGAGGAGGAAGAGGTGGAGGAGGAGAAGAGAGAGGAGGAGGATTGACCGATCACTGTCGCAGAGGGTACGCCCTCACACCCGGGCCCTGGCAGTGCGAGGCACGAGCAGGCCGGCCCGGAGGCCCGCACGCGCCCGCCCCGCCGGGTGCCCCCCCGACGGCCCCGCGAGGCGAACGGGCGCTACGAGGCGGGCCCGGCGGGAGCGGCTGCCGGCCGGAGGTGGCCAGGAAGAGACCGGCCCGAGCACACACATCGGGCGCTCGCAGGCATGGATCAAGGGGGCGTGGATCCCAGACATCGGGCGTCTCGAAAAAATCGAGACGGAGGTTTTCCGCAGTTTGTGGCCTCTCCGGGCCCTCGCTGGGCCTCGTGACCGTCAAAAACCGGTCGGGATGAAACACCGGTCCCGGGGAAGTAGTCCGGAGGTCGGGGGCCCGTGTCTCGAAAAATTCAAGTCGTCGGATGTCTGGGATTATCGGGCCGGACGAAAGGAGGGGATAGGGAAAGGGGGGGGTACGAAAGCTGCTGCGTGCAGCTGGTCTCGGCCCCACCGAGGGGCCCCTTCCTCGATACATGGGCGCCGCCCCGGCGCCTGGAGACGCCGGGAAAGCCAGCTACGTGAGTTGATTCTCAAACCCCCCCTTGCTACCCCCCCCCTTTTTTTGCCCGACACGAGATTAGCGACGGGTCCCGTTTCCATGGGAAATCGCGGATTTCCCCGACACGAGATTAGCGACGGGTCCCGTTTCCATGGGAAATCGCGGATTTCCGTTGCCGAGCGAGGCGGCACCGGCCGCATTTTGGGGAGGGCACCTCCCCTGATCCGTAGATTAGGCGACGGCGCGCCAAATCCATGGATCGCTAATCCATGCTTGCGCGCCCGCGAATACAGTCGGACCGAGGTATCACATCGAGGTCGGTTCGGATAGGATGCCCTAGTGCTCTTCGTGCTTGTGGGGCGTTCTCGTGCATCCTGGGGAGGGTACGTTTGCGTGTTCTCTCAGTGTTTGTGTGTGTGAGTGTGTGTGTGTGTGTGTGTTCAGGCCGGCGAAGGGTCTCGTGTTCTTGAGGAATGTTCTTCTGACCTGGGTCCGATGGTATCTTTGGAGCGCAGCGCGGACTTCTTGGGCCAGCGCCAGACCCTCCTCGCTGGCGCGCGGAGCGCACTGGGGGCGGCGCTGGAGGCGCGGCCCCTCGGGTCAGCTCCGAGACAAGAAATCCGCGCAGACCCTCGAAAGGTAGTGTTTGCTGTGTTAGCTTTTGATCAAGGAGAGCAGCCCGGGGCTTTACGAGTGCGCCCAGAGGACCTGCGGATCGTTGAAGTCCGTCCGCGCCCTGAGGAACACGTTGTCACGACATACGAGCTCTTGCAGTTCAGCGTTTCGGCGGAAGCAGCTTCACGGCGTCCCTGGTACCACAGGGCGTGCACAAGGGCCCCAGGATGACCCTGAGACGTCACCGGCATCCTATGTTTTCACCCCCGCCCAGGCCCCGAAGGCAGCTAGCATTTGAGCGCGCGCCATGCGCGCGCGATGGTTCTATTATGATGGCATGTCTGGTCAGGACGATGGTTCTATTGAACATGCCTGTCGTGCTTGCTTTTCGGGATCGCTATGTCTCCATGACTACTTTTCCAGACAGGCCAGCAGATGACTAAGATGAAGTAGTCATGTTTGGTTCGACAGGAGAATCAACAATATGAGTATTCCCTTGTGTTTGCCTCTGCGCTATCGTGGCTACGGTTACGGTTTTTGGCTTCGGTTTAATAAGGAGGGGAGCAGTTCAGAGTAACCTGCAGTATATTGAACGTAGAGAGGAGTAGTGGAATGAACTGGGCTCGAGTAGAGTAGGGTATTTCAGGGTAGGTAGGCCGCGGTGAGGTAAGGCAGACCAGTGTAGAGTGAAGTATAGAAAGAAGATCAGATGTGAGTCATGTAGCGTGACTTAGAGGCGCTGGGCACGCGTAGGCTGATTGGAGTGAGTTATTCGACCACTTTCGTGAGATTCATTTCTGTACTTCGTTTTCTTTGAAGTCAACGCTGGAACATATCATCGTGATTAGACTGATTGTCATGGGTGCCCTCTCACCGTTGGGCTTCGAAGACAATCCATATCTTTTCATTTAACTCGACCTGTAGCGACCAGCCACTATCTTGCCAGGTTCGGCCATTATGGTCCTCTGGACCGTTCTACTCTGGTAATTGTAGTCCCCGTCAGGGCCAGCGAGCGAACCGGCGTCGTGCTTCGATACTCAAGTGTTTCACGATTTTGACGGTCGTCGTCATCATCACAATGACAAAGCTAAGATGGGGAATCATTGCAAGACGAGGATGCCTACGCACAGAGAAGCACAGCACCCTCCACGACTGCACAGGTGGAGAGAAGTACGCTGAGCGGCTCGACCCCTGTACAGGTCAGGGTCGACCGCAGCGGCTGGCACGGGACGCGGCCAGCTCGCCTCGCTGCGACGGGCGGAGCCACGACAGCAGCGTTCGGCCGCAGCAGCAGAGCTGAGCGGCGATAAAACAAATGAAAAGGAACGAGTCCGAAACAGTCGAGCGCCGAAAATGGCACCAGTCAGTTAGAGTCGTCCTCGCGCTGTACAAGAGGCTGGTAAAGAAGAGGGTCGTCCTCCTCTTGAAGGAGGGCGGCCTCCGTGCCAAACCTGAGCCAAAACGAACACTCGTGCTGCGCACCTTCCCCCACAACTGGGGTGCCTGACACACGTGCAAGTGACGCAAACGACACGCAACAACAAAGAACAAGGCGACGCCAGGACGACGCAGCAGGCCAACCCCTGGTGTAATGAAACGCCAGGGCGGTGGCCAAACTACGCCCCTGGTGTGGGCCTGACTCAAACCACCGAGCCAGTGCACCCATGGTGGGCCCTCCAGATGCGGCCTGTGCCAACTGGGCGGAGCGATCAAGGACCCACCGTCTCCCGCTCCAACGCAAGGTGCAAAGGCTACAAGCGGCAGAGACATAGAAGCCTACAGGACAGGTCAACGGTCGGGACTGAGCACCGCCCCCGTGCCAAGCCCAGAGGAGTCAGAACAAATCACACGTGCAGCGCACCTTTCCCCACAACTGGGGTGCCTGACACACGTGCAAGAGCGCACACGAACTAGCAACACAAAGGCGGCCAGGACGACACAGCACTCTACCCCTGTTGTAAACAACGCGAGGCACCGGCGCGAATCGGCCTTGGCCGGGGACGACCTGGTGCTGCCCGCGGGAGCCGAGGACGCCGAGTTCAAGCCCGCCAGCCTGCAGGCGGCCTTGTGTGCCATCCAGGACGAGCTGGCAGTCGTCCGCCTCCTGGAGCAGCTGGACGTGCCCGCGCTGCAGGATCGCCGCCGGCGCCTCCTGGAGCTGCGCGACCCCTCCGTGTCGCACGAGTGGCTGTGGCGAGTCTCGCGCGCACATGGTCCAGTGGTGCCCAGAAGCGACTTCCAGGTGGCGGTCCGGCTCCGAGTGGGCGCAGTTTGCACCAGCCCCACCGCGCTCTGCGCTCGGTGCGGCGCCTCGCTGGGGACGACTGGCTCCCATGCCCTCTGCTGTGCCCTGCCGGAGGCCACCCGCGGGCACTACGACGTCCGGGACGAGGTGCTCCGGTTGGGGCACTTGGCAGACCCCACCGCCGCGACTGAGGCTCTCGGGCTCATTCCCTCTGCTCCAACGCTCCGCCCCGCGGACATCTTGACCTCAGCGGCCCTCCCGGGCCGCTTGGCGGCGTTGGACATTGGGATCACGAGCCCCGACGCAACCGGCGCGGGCGCGGACTGCTGCGACGCGATGTACCGCAAGAAGCAGGGGGACTACCAGGAGTACGAGGCCGAGCTGCGGGCGCAGAACATCACCTACCGGCCCATGGTTTGGTCGGCGTGGGGCCGCGAGCACCCGGAGACCAGCGTGATGCTCTCCGCGATGGCGGCGCAGGCGGCCCGGCGCCGTGGGCTGCGGGGCCACCGGCTGCTCCTCCGAAGGGTCCGGAGCGCCATCGGCGTCCAATTGGCGCGACGGGCCGTGCGGATGCTGCACTCCTGCGTGCCGCGTTTCGAGGAGGAGGAGGACGCGGCGCTCTTCGGGGGCTACTGCGACGACGGCGCCCGGCACGAGCCGCGGGCAGTCCGGCTCCTCGCGGGCGAGGCAGACGCCTGGCCTGCACCCGCGGAGCTGGGCGAGGCGGAGAGGGCGCCAGCGGCCGCCCACGGCGGGCTGGGCAGCGACGCGGAGCCAGACGAGCCAGGCGGCCGCGTGCCCGAGCCGACCGAGCTGGGCAGCCTGGAGCCGACGGAGCTCCGCGGCCCTGGGGAGCCGCCGGGCAGCGCGGACGCCGGCCTGGGCCTCGCGGAGGCGGCCGGCAGCCTGGCGCCGACGACGCCCCGCGGCACCTCGCCAGAGCGGGCCGGGGCGGACGGCGCCGAGGCCAGGCTTGCTCTGCCTGCCCAGCTGCTGCCGCCGACGGCCAGCGCGCGGCGCGCCGGGAGCGCCGCGGGGGGCCGCGTCGCCGCCCTGCGCCTCGTGTACGGGGCGGGCCCGCGGCTGGGCGGGCGCTGAGTGCGAGGGACGAGGACGTGGTGGAGGTTGAGTGATCGGAAAAAAAAACTGCCCCTGGTGTGAGCCTGACTCAGCAGTCGAGCCAGGACCCACATGCGCCGAGGTATAGACAGGACCTCCTCCGCCATCCACCGACGACGACCTGACGACAACCTCCTCCTCCTCGAAAGCTCCGAGGAAAGGACGAGACATCTCGTCCTCCGTCTCGAAGCTGTCAGGGTCATGGTGCCCCTCAGCAGGCCGAGGGGACTGCACACGTTGCTTGGCTTTCGAAAGCCCCGCTCCAGGCGACGGGGACTGGACAGGGAGCCTGGACAAACCGCCACTACGAGAGAGATTCGCGCTGCTGCGCGAAGTCCTGGCAACACCAGATTCCGATAAAAGGTTCAGCGCAATGTGGGGACGAGAGAGAGGCGCCCGCCGCAGCTCCAGCTGCAGACGGGGGGTCCTTCACGCAGGCATTGGCGGCCGATCGCCGATCGACCGCTGCAGCTCGACTGCGACGCTGGCTCGTACAGCGCCTGCGCAGGCCGCGCAGCGGTGCGGTAACGTGCCATCTCGGCTGCTACTCTGAGCAGCACCTGACCTGGGCTTTCGGCCTGCGTCTGAGAGGGGGGAGGCTCGGGAGGAGGCTCGACGGGAGGAGAGGTACCCAGCTTGCCTTCGGCCGTCAGGTCCACACACTGCAGGGTGATGCCATCCTCCTTGGGATGGAGACCCTTGACAATACGATTCCAGCAGTGTCTGCGCCCGCGCATGGAGTGATCCGACAGCTTCACAGGCTCCGCGGGACAGCGGTCGCGCAGTCCTCGCACTCTGCCGCCCGTCGAATACAGCTTGCAACGAGTACACACGGCGACAAAAAGAGCCGTCCGAGCAATCGTACGCAGCAATAGTGTGACCTAGGTGGGACAAATCTTCCGCCTTGAGGCCTCGCAAGCCGTCGGCACCTGGGCACTTGGAGGCGGGCGGCTCAGGGAGCCGAGAACCCCTCAAGCAAACTGAACGGAGGGCTTCTCAGAAGCACCCCTGCTTCTGAGAACCTTTTGCGGTCTGCACGAGATGTTGTTGGAGCATGTTGCTCCGACTGTCTTGTTTTAACACATCGGGCTTGTGTTCCAAGAACATCGTTTGGGTTCTTGGAACACCTGTTGGGTTCCAAGCAAATTGCGTGGTAGGCCTACAGGATTGCCCGGACGGTCAGTCCCTGCTCAACGCAGCGGCTCTCGCCATGAAGCAGGCGGGTTCTGAGGCTTTGGACGGGTCTGGTTGCCCGGGGCTCTCCGCGGGCACCAGGACTGTCAGCAGACGGCCTCAGGGTGACAAGCTGGTCGGGACAGGGGTCCATGCAATCGGGTGTCCTCCAGAGCGCCGGATCTTGCAGGATCCTGCAGAGCCAGGACCGCGTTGATCTGGGCTTGGGTGCGGGATCCTGGTTTGCAGGATCTTGCAGGATTTTGCAGGATCCTGCAGGATCCGGCAGGATCCTGCAGAGCCTGACTGACCCTTGTCTGGATTGACCCGAGTCAGTAGATCCCCGATTCGGGATGAAGAGCTGGTCCTTGGGACAGCTCGGCGGCGAGCCAGGGGGGGAAGGGGCGGGGCTTTTGAGAAGGCTCGGAAGTCCCCCGGCCTTTGAACAGTTTTCTAAGCTCTCCGGGAAGACACGAAAAACGTCTGAGAGAAACGGTCCTCTGGCGGAGGCGGCCTCGTGCCCGCGCGGAGGGCTACCATGGTCCAGCCCTCCCAGGTGGGGTCGGAGGATCGCGCCGCATCGCCGATGCGTCGGCGGTGCGGCTCGATGCGGGGCCCACTTTTTGCCGGTCGACGGCGCTGGTGCATCGTCGGCGTTGCCGATGCATCGCCGATGCGTTGGCAATGCATCAGCGGCGCGTTCCTCCGACCACATCTGCACGGACCCCATTTGGGAGGCCTCTACCTGGGGGTTTGGGGGCCGTCTCCGCGGAGCTCGAGCGCGCTCCGGGCTGGGGGTGCGTGGCGCGCCGGCCGCGAGGTCAAGTTCGGGGCCGACCAGATGGCACTGCTGCGGCCAGACAAGCTCGAAAGGCACCTGCTGCACCCACGCCTGGCGCAGTTCCCAGCCAGCAGGGTCCCATTCGATCCGATCGATCCGATGCGATGCCGACTTGGCCCTGCTCGGCCCGATCCGATTCCGAGGCTTTGCTGATCCGATGCTTCCCGATGCTCGCATGTCGCCCTCGTGTGTCTTGGCGCAGCCGCTTCGATCCGATTTCCGCTCGTGCCGAGGCAGTCCGATCTGATGCACATGCCAGTTTGGGCAGATCTCCCGACTCGGTGCCGACTGACCGTGGCCAGCGGGGGGGAGGCGGGAAATGGGCATGGGGAGTTCTCAGGATACAGTGGGGGCGCGTACCAAGAAACCAGTTGGATTTTGCCAGGGTGCCCTGGGGTTCTTGGATTTTGATGGGCTCCCAATCAGATCTTGACGATGTTCGATCGACACATGTTGATTTTCACTGAACGAATCGTGTATTTCAGGGTTGGGTTTCTTGCGGAGGTTTCTTGTGGCCGAGCCCCCATGGTAATACTATGCGGGGATCGGCTCAGGGGGAAAGCGTCGACCCCCAATCGCCCATTCATCACCGATGGGGGCCGGTGGCCCACCCACGCCCAGGAGCGCGAGGATTCTTTCTCGGGGCCTGTCGCCGATGTACCGGCGGTGTGTCGCCGATTCCAGGTCGACATATTTCCCCTTCTGAGCTTGCTCCCCCCACATCTTTCAGGAGGGAAAAAATCACACAGACACAGTTCATCGTCGATCCCCACAAATATTGGAAGTGGGGGGGAAATCAAAAACCCAGAAGATATGGGAACATGTTGGGAATCCTGTTCTTTGTGTGTATTTATATATATGTGTGTGTGTGTGTGTGGCCCCTTCGATCTTTGCCCCTCCAGCTCCTCACGGGGAGGCAGGGCGGGCGAGCTTGGCGAGAGGCGGCCTCGAGAAGACAGCAGTCTCGTGCGGTGGCCGCGTCGCCCGCCGCTCCCCTTCCCTCTCGCTCGTCTCGGTGTGGTACTCAGGAGGAGGAGGAGGAGGAGGAGGAGGAGAATGATGATGATGAGGAGGAGGATGAGGATGATGAGGAGGAGGAGGAGGAGAATGGGGAGGATGAGGAGGTTATGGTTGTGCAGTTTTTGCTGCGCTGCTGCCCTCTTTCTCGCCCCCCCTTGTTTCGGATGCCACTCCTGGGATCTTGAGCCGAGCATCGGCGCTGGTATCTCCGTGGTCGGAAGCTGGCCGGATCCGGCATCGTCCCGCTGAATTCCGTTGTTTTGCTCCGGTGTGGTTTGGCTCAGTCCCCCGCTCAGCCTGGCCGAACGTGGCTCAGTGGCACCTTACTCGGCCCACTAGCTCTGCATCGTGCGCACCAGCCAAGACCGCCCAGGAGTTGCCTCCTGACATCCTCCCCCATCCATCCCCCGGGAGTGGCCGTCGCCTGGCGGCCGGCCGCAGGTTACCAGCCTCGAACTTATCCCTATCCCTAAGATTGACACGCCAAAAGGCGATGACAATCTTAGGGATGCGCCCTCAAAAAAGAAGGGAATCCCGAAGATTGGCATCGTGATGAGGATATGCCCAGCACAGGGATAGGGATATGTTCCAGGCTGGTAAGCAGGGCAGCCGTCGCTCCTGGGGGGGGGGCTCGGTGCTGAGTATTATTGGTTCGACTGCGCGGGCGCCCCCGGCCAAGCAGCGCGTGCGCGAGCCCTCCTCTCGGGGGCGACGACGGGGGCCAATAGCCCAAGGGGTTAGGACGCAACTCTTGGGAGGTTACACTCAGCATCGGCGCTGACGTATCCGTGGTGAAGAAGAGGTCGACGACGGCACAATCCCGTTCAAGTCAGCCTGTAAGCCCGTTGGGTTCGGCTTAGTCCTGGCAGATCTGGCTTAATCATGGGCTTCATCTGGGCTGATCCAGCTTAGTCATTAACTGGGCCAAATCGTTTTTCGGATTTCTTGCGAAGACCTTCCGGGATTTGCCTCCGAAAAGGGGGCGGGGCGCTATGGTAGGATCGTGTCGTGCCGACTCGGCGGCGACCCCAGCGCGGGCGTTCAAGGTTGAGCGTTGCTAGCGTCCCAGAGCATGCCAACATGTAAGGGTCTGGCGAGCCAAACGCCGATGATCGTTCAAAGTTGACCGGTCCACGCACGCGGGGGTCGTCACGACACGAACCCGCCGTATCTGTAGCCAGGGGCGGTGGTCTTATCTTTGGCGAGGCTCCCCAGCGAATGCGTGTCACGCCCGCCTCAGGGCCAGTCGCCCCCCTCGTCGCCGGCGATACTCCTCCCTCGTCCTCCCCCCTGCTCCTGCAGCCCCCTCACCCCCCTACCCTACCTCTCCCTCCCCCCTCAGGGGCAACGCTAGGGGCGGATGGGCTCGGGGGGGGGGGGGATTTGTCCATGCGCGGTCCCGGGAGGTCTCGACCCTTTCCCCGGGACCGGGCTCTCATCCCGAGTTGTTCTTTGACGGTCCCGGGGCCCGGCGAGGGATCCCAGAGGCCCAGGGCGACCCGAAAGTGACTGTCTTTCTCACTTCCCCCCCCTCGATCGCCGCCGCCGACCACTCCCCCCCCACGCCGACACACGGTCGCGGGGACCGCCGCAGCCACGCGAGGTCGCCGCCCGCGCGCCCAGGGCAGCTCGGCTCAAGCCCCGCGGGCGTG